GTCCCCTCCACAAGTGAGGAGGATTGAGAGAGTGACTTTGAGAGAGAGACTTGGAGCTCACTCCAGCCTGGGGGAGGTGGTGAGAGTAATGGTGATTGGGGGTGGGGGTGAGGATACAGAGAACACATCCTGATCACATGTAAGATGGGAGGATGGCTGTGGGCTGTGAGGGGAGCACCACGGGGGGCATCTTCCAGCCTCTCTGCAATGACCGGTAGGGGAAACCTCAGCAAATATCAAGGAAACTGGCCTTCCTTGTTGCCCCTTAAGTATGTGAAGTGTGTCCCTACCTCAGGGCCTTTGCACGTGCCACTTCTTTCACCCAGAATGCTCTTTGCCCAGATATCTACCTGCCTCCTCCCTTATTAGGTTTCTTCTTAAATGTTCCCTCCTCAGAGGGACCTTCCCTGATCCTCCCTTCTAGAGCGGCTTGATAGTTTTACCCCATTTTATTATTAACAGGTATATAAATTTTATTAGTTTCCTGTTGCTGCTATAATTATTACCCTAAACTTAGTGGCTTAAAATGGCACAAATGTGTTATCTTACTGTTCTGGAGGTCAGAAGCCCAAAGTCAGTCTCACTGGGCTAAAGTCAAAGTGTTGGTAGAGCTGGTTCCTTTTGGAAGCTGTATGACTCTGTTTCTATTGCTTATAACAAAATTCCTGAAACTGGGTAATTTGTAAAGAAACAATATTTATTGCTTACAATTTTGGAGGCTGGGAAATCCAAAATCCAGGGAAAACATCTGGTGAAGGCCTTGTTCTTGTTAATGACCCTACAGCAACACAGGGTATCACATGGTGAGAATGGCTGAGTGACAGGGAGAGAGCTTCTCACTTGCTCTCCTTTTTAAAAAAAAAAAAAATAATAATACATCCATCTTTATTTATTCAGGGAATATTTTTCAGGCATGGGACACAAAATGAAGAAAAATACAACGAGGTCGTATATTCTTGGAGTTTACATTTTTTTTCTTGTAAAGTTTATTTTTTAAAATTTTTACAAGGAACTGAAACAACTTTACAAGAAAAAAACAAGCAACCCAATTAAAAAACGGACAAAAGAGCTAAGCAGGCATTTCTCGAAGGAAGATATACAAATGGCCAACATGAAAAAATGCTCAACATCAATCAGCATTCAGGAAATGCAAATCAAAACCACACTGAG